ACAATTTTGGGCCTGGATTCAGCGTCTGAAAAGTTCACGGCGAGACTAATGGGTTGCGCGTCAACGTGGCGGCTGAGATGAAAGTTTCAGCGGTAGAAATTGAGCCTGAAGACAAACTGTGTGACTCCCCAAGCAGAGCGCTGTACGAACCCCGTCAATGGATTGAAGACCAAGGCGAAAGCGCTGCGACTCGCGGTGCAGGCATGAAGCGTGGCGCGTACTGACGGCAGGAAGCTCCGGATCTTATGATCATTGAGCGCCAGCATTTTCAATTGACCAAACGAAACCTTGGGGCGATTCAATTTGTCGCTTACACTTGGGGTTTGTATCAGAAGAAAACAAGCAACGCGACAGTTGCCTTTGTCGAACAGAAAATAGAAAATACAGTTGGTGCCCATAACCAAAGCATTGAGCAACTTGCCCTGGTGTCATAACCGACTGCCACCGATGCGCTTGACCAGGGGTCTATTGCTCTCACTGGGGCTGTTCGGGCGGGGCTGCGCTTCCGTGCAGGATGCTCAGGGGCTTGAGTTTGCAGACGCCGCCGCCTTCTGTGACTTCCACTGCTCCCCAGTCCTGCTGTCGCAGACGTCACAGTGCTCGTCGGCGCTTTGTGGTCGTCGCCGGCGCGTCCTGGAGGAGTCTGACGCAGGTAATGACAAGCAACAGATTGACGTGCTCTCATGCCGCGACGTAGAGCAGAACGCGTCGACGCTGGCGTTCTCACTGACTCTGTCGACCGCGGACAGCGCGCAGGTGTTTCAGGGCTTCCACGACGCCTTCTTCCAGGCGTATGACGCCATGTTGGGCGGCGACAGCGTCACATCTGACGCCTGTCAACTGGCATTTCTTCAGGACAAATTGCTACCTACTGTGCAGGATGACAACTCTGAACAGGAGGAGAAGGCGGAGCGCAAACCGAGACTGGTGAAACTGGTCACAGGTCAGAAAGAAGACCACGACAGAGCGTGTATTGTATCGATCAAGAAATTGTGTGGACAGGATGAGGAGCAGGAGATGCCGTTGTTGACTAGGAGAGGAGACAGTTTGGGGGAGAACACGGTACTATTAGTACATACAAAGGAGTCGGTGGCAGAGCAGATCCGAGTTTTAGAGTGTGTAGATAAAGTGTTGGATCTGCCGGAGATTTTGAAGCTCATGCCATTCGCCCGGAGTGCTGCACAGCTCAGCTACAGGATGGCTCAGGGGAATTCAACGTCCATTGCGGCGCCTGCCATGGAAATTAGACTGGTTGAGGGGGCGAACCAACAGACTGTGCTGGCTTCATTAGAACACCGAGCGAGCGAGCTTGTTGGACTGATGAATGTGTTTGAAACGAGTGATCTCCAGCCAAGATCAATCTTCACGAAACCACTACAGGATCTGAGGACGTGGACGAATATTGTGGCACTTGTAGTGGTTGAGAGCTCTGTCGAGTGGATGGACGAACGACATGAGATCACACAGAATTTGTTACGAGGTGAAGAACAGGAGCGATGGACACGGATGCAGAGTCATCGACGACTTGATGCTTACGTGCCAAGTCTTGTGGGGGTTGATTCGGCTAGAGAGGCCGGTATTCGAGGAAATGACGTTGTTGTGGGCATCACGGATACTGGGTTGTATCTGTACCACGACCAGTTCGATCAAGATGACCGCGATATTTTCTCCAGTATTAAGCTATCGGCTCGCAAGGTTGTCATGTACAATGGCTGGGCAAATAAAGCCGATGAAGCCGAGACCATCACTTGTGGTCATGGCACTCACGTCGCTGGACTTCTGGCAGGCAGCTCGTTTAGTGGCAAACATGACAATCTTGGCATCGCTGACAAGGCACGGATAGCATTTATGGACATCGGAACGCAGAGTGAGACCTGCACAGGTCAACTTAATTGTGCCGTGTCGTTGGCCACACCTGCAGACGCCAGCGACTTGCTTGAGAGTCAAATTGACGCTGGTGCCAAGATCTTCTCGTTCTCGTGGGGTACACCTGGGTCAGATTACAGTTCACAAGCCAGAGATTTGGATGCTTTTATTTATGAAAACCCAGACGTACTGGTGGTTGTGGCGGCAGGCAACAGTGGAGAGTCCTCGATCACTGGTCAGCGTACCATTTCATCACCATCTGGGGCCAAGAACGTTATCTCAGTTGGCGCTTCACTCAATTCTGCAGCTTCTTTCACGGATTATGGATGCCCCGATATCTTTAACGAGCACACAGTGGCATCGTTTTCCTCTGCCGGGCCCACAACGGATGGGAGGTTGAAGCCTGATGTTGTTGCACCCGGTATGAGTCTTTTATCAAGTCAGTCAGAGGCACCGGGGTCTACTAGAGAGAGTTCGGCCACGTGCTCACTCCAGGGCACGTCACAGGCCACGCCGGTGATCACTGGTGTCGCTGTACTTCTTTATGAATGGCTACGCGACGGATGGTGGAAGAACGGCACCAAGAACGCAGCGTACGCCATGAAAACTGTACCTGCTTCGCTGCTCAAGGCGCTGATTATTCATAGTGGAGACTCCCTGCAACAGCGAATGGCTACACTACCCGCAAGTGGCGTCGTCTCCTGCTCGAGCTTGGCTTCCGACGCAACCGATGTAAAATTCCCAGATGTATACCAGGGCTACGGCAAGCCGAATCTTACCAACATTGTGGATTTCTCTGCTGTGAGCGGGAATAGCAGCGGCAACAGCAGTGATGACCTACCATCTTTGTATTTCTTACCAAACTCGACAGAAAACAGCGAGCCGGCCGTTGCCCACAACGGCGAGATGGTGATTTCGTTTACAGTCGCTCGTGATGTGGATTTACGCGCAACGCTCGTGTGGACGGACCCTCCAGGATCAACCCAGGCGACGTCACAACTGCAGCACGATCTAGACCTTATTGTTCGTGTTCGCAATGGCAATCAGACGTTTGGTCCTTTGACAGCTGATTCGAGCACGGGACGGGATTCCAAGAACAACGTGGAGATGGT